CCGCCGCCGGCGACCCGCTGCATCAGCAATGACTGGGCGTAGCCCTGCAGCTGCATCAGCGCCTTCCGGCGCTCGGTAGGCGCGCTGCCGCCGAGCACGTCGTCGAGCCCCTGCAGCTGCTCCCGCGCCGCATTCGCCGCGGCCGCGGCACCGTGGGCGCCAGCGCCGGCCCCGGCGCACGCGTCGACGGCGCCGTCGAGCGCGCCGCCCTCGAGCGCGCGCAGCGCCGCCTGCAGCGTGGCGGGCTGCAGCAGACTGGCGAGCGCCGGGTCGGCGCGCGCGGCGTCTCGCAGCGCGGGGTCGGCTCGCAGGGCGGCCATGACGGCGTCGGGCGCTTGCCGCAGGGCGGCGAGGCCCGGGTGCTGCTGCAGCTGGCGCCTCAGCTGCTGCATGGGACCCTGCAGCGTTTGGCGGGCGCCAGTTTAGGCGGGCGGGCGGCGTGGCGGTGGCTGCATTCCACGCCATCGTGTGACGCGCGATAGACTGCGCAAGCAGGAGCCCGATACTATGCAATTGCATACGGTAGTTCCATCTGTGCATGAGGCCCAACGAGGTGCCCCTGCTCCGTGGCTCTTTTCAACGCACCCCTTCATCACAGGCGCCAGAAGCAACATCCCGCCGCCTCGTAGGTAGGCGGGGTGCGCTACTCATGACTCTGGCCTGATATTATGCCCTCATCTTGCGATGGCAGCTGCTGAGATCGCAAAGCGGGAGATCTCTGAGACCGACTGTGAATTACTGTAGCCCGGCGAACAATGGCTTTTATGCCTGGCCGCAATTCTCGTTATTAGGTCAGCGTGACAGCCACATACATCAAACCCGTACGGTACTGCAATAGGACGCGCTGTTTGTCACTTGCGGTCGTGCCGGTGACGGTAGTCTGCACGAGCCTCGCAAGAGACTCTGATTTCAATAACAATTACTGCCATGACGGCACCGTGGGTGGAGGGGCCCTTGAAGGTGGGTAGAATGCCAGCGCGACATCGCCCGACGTCGCTGCTCGAGGCCCGCGTCTCCAGCCTTCACCCCCTCGCTCGTTGCCCTTGGCTTTGAAATGTCTGCCCAGCATCTGCGGTCCCTGTGACTACCATGAACGCGACCGTACCCACCCGTGCGTGGGAGCGGATGAAGAGCGGAGGCCTTGCTGCATGGCTGCCGCAGGTGGTGGTCGAGTTCCAAACGAGCAGCGCTGGCATCGGGACGCGCACAATCAAGTTGAAGCACTCGCCAAATGTGGTGCCCATACAGCTGCAGGTCTGTCATAGGTGACGGGCAGGTTCAGCCGTACATGTCGTGCATGAAGTGCACACCCCTTGTGCCGCTCGGCCATCCGGGTGAAGGTACAGCACCGCGAGCCCACGACCCCACCAGCCGCGCCGCCCCGCCCAACCGCCGCAGGGGCGCGTCTCGCCTGAAACATGGCAGGCGTTCATGCAGGTGGGGCTCGCCAGCACAAGGGCTGCTTTGTAGGGCGGCGTGGTCTGCAAGGTTGCCGCTCCGCTCACGCCCCAAGTTATGGCCACAAAAATGCTCGACTTCCCAGGGCCGACAAATGCGCGCGAACTGCGATGCTTTGCACCCATTCTCAGGAAGTGGCGCGGCTTGCCGCGATACACCCGTATGTGGTGCCGCCATCCGCCGCGCGCGTGGGCGGCTGGCTTGGCTGGCTGATCGTCGGTGCGCCCATGATTCAGGCGGGGAACCGCGCTCGCTGTCGCCAGCATCGGAACCAAACGGCGGGCGGCGATGCAGCACGGGGAGTGGCTGGTGTGCTCATCAACAACATCATACTCTGTGTGGGTTGCACTGCTTGAAAGATATCCCAATCAACGTGGTGGCACACACTTGGACTCGTCGCGCAGGGCCGGTCGCAGGCATCTTTTGCTGCAACCCAGATGGGGGCGAGTACTCGGAGTGGCTGCCACAGGTGCGCGGCGTCTTGCCGCCACGAGTCACACACCTTTCCGCGCCCCTCCCTGACGCTGCTACGCTGCCACGTGCCCTGCTAAGGCTGTGCGACGCCCCAGCCATGCAATCCAGCATGTCTCCCTGAATGGCTGTCCGAGTTTCGTTGCATGGCTGACGCAAAGTACCGTCTTAATGCGCTGTTGCAGGTGGAGGGGGTGATAGCGGCGTACCAAGCGGCCTTTGCGGCTGGCGGCGCACACTTGTCGCTGCAGCGCGCGCAGCACAGCTACTGGATCCAGGTCGATGTGGATCCCTCTCTGGCAGTGGGGAAGCCAGGTGGGTGGATTTGGGGCGCATGCTGGGGAGGGGGGATTGCATGACAGGGCACACACGTGCATCCGCATGTACGACTGAAAGCAGCGCATATGCTGCATTTGACTGCATGCATGAGGGTGTCAAGCCATCATTGTAATCTGTGTGCACCACACTTGTTTGTGCGAGCTTGCATGCACGCGGCGCACACGGCGTTGTGCCATGCGAGCTGGGGTCACCAGAGCTGTGCGCCTGTGCGCATGCTTGCATGCGTGCGCCTGCGCTGCCATGAATACCTGCGTCATGCCTGCACATTGCCACCCAGATCCTTGCAACCCCCTACGTTTGTGTTACCGCTGCGGCATGCGATATCAGGCTCTGTTCGCATCCTGGCATCCAGCTACCACCAACTTGGCGTATGAACCCCGTGTTGTGTGCAACCTCCTTCACAACCCTCACCACATGCAGTGCCTCAAAAGTGAAGACGGACTGCATCAACACGATAGATAGGGCGTGTGGGGCAGCGCAGGATGTTAACAGCTGCGTCATGCCCACGCACAGCACTTTTGGGCCGAGTGCTCGATTACGTACAATGTTGGAACATCATCATTGTGGCGTGATCTTGCATGTGTCAAAGTGTAAGCAATCCGTTGGGTTGAAACAGCAGGCGGACTGGCCTCCACAAGTTTGGCAGCAAGAGCGGCAGGAGCAGCAGCATGACCACCCAGGCATGACTCGGGCGCCTGAGCTCAGCGCGAGGTGCGCATGAGCAGCAAGAGCGCCCAGAAGCGCAGGGCCTCACCAGGATACACACACATACACATGTTTCTTGACAATCACCCACGGGTCAGCACATGCCTGGTGTGGGGTTTGCACATACGTTCCTTGAGATGCATTGCCAAGGGCCAGCCCTGAGCACTAAGAATGCCAAGCAGTGTACTAGGGATGCTCCCAGTCCAATTTCTTCAGCACTCAATGCTGCGATAACTCGCGACCTGCCTTGCCCTCCAACAACAGCAACGTTTCCGAGGACGGTGGCATCAGTGCAGTGCCCGAATGTAGTCGTGTGTTTATCATTGGACGGGATCTCAAGTTCAGCCGTCCTGTCACAAGTGAACAATGGGGAGGTGTATCCCTGTTCTACTATCGCCTTTTTTTAGGCTGCACGCCTGCCATGTTCAAGTCACCAGACCGGAGCAGCAGAGGCGAAAGTGCGGGGGGCTCTGCTGCAGCCGCTGGCCAGGGGAGGATGTTGCACCCACATCTGACCCTGTCCATGAGTCCAGAGTACTATCTCTGGTTCTGAGGTATGGTTATGCTGAAAAACCTATAAACAAAAATAAAGTATACCTCATTACCTTGGAGTCGTAGTCGGCCGTCACCGTCTCACCGGGGATCAAAGGAGCAAGTGTGCGGCAAGCAGCGGAGTGCACAAAGCGAGTGGGGTATCCCTGCCCGTACCCGTTCCACCGGAACTCATATCACAAAATCACCTGAGCGCGACGGCGACTCGATCAGAGCGGCAGAAGGGGCTTGAGCTCGGGTTACAGAAAAAAGCGGCAAAGGGTGCAAATGCACGGTGTGTGCTGGTGCTTGTGCAGGGGAGATCCTGGAGACGGTGAGGTAAAAGAGCCACAACGTTGGTATAAACACACATGTTCAGCTCACTGAAGGGAAGTATGGGTCGCACATGCCCT